TAGCTCGTGTCACGGGGGTGCTTCTGTGTCCCCTGCGGACCCCCCCCAGGGAACCCTTGTCCCCCGGGAGGAACCTGGGGATGCTTTTCTGTCGACCTGGAGACGTTTGTGGGTTTTTTCCCAGCCTTGGCACAACCATTTCTAACACCACTAGATAGCAGTGTCTACCCGGCGCTGGGAGCCACGGTGGCAGTGCCTCTCCCTTGCTGTGCATCCCTTTTTTTTGGATTTTTTTCTCCAAAAAAATCGAATTTTTCACCTGGAAGCTGCAGGGAGGGGTTAATATGCACTAAACCTGGTGGGATTTTAATCAGTGTCCTGCCATGGGGAACTCTCTGCCCTAAGGTTTCTGTGAGTGCAACGTTGAACTGAGACTTTGCCTTTTAACGCAGAAAACCCTGGATAATTTTATATTTAATTTTTTTTTTTAATCCGTGGTGAGGTGAAAGAGGAACTAGAAAAGGGAAAAACAGGGAGAGGAGAGAGAGGGAACGAGGAGGGGGCTGAATGGTGCCATGGAGGGGAGCGACAGCCCCCCCTGCATGGGAAGGGAGATGGGAGGGGTGGAAACACGTTGTTAAAATCGCATCCTGGGAGCACCAAATTGATGTGATTTCTACAATTTTCACATGATTCTGGCCCCTACCTGAGCCCGACCCCTCCTCACCCTCACTGCGGGCAAAGCAAACTCTCCCCCAGTTAAATTTTTAATTGTCAACTCCTGGCTAAAAAAAAACCCAAAAGCCCAAAAGGGCAGAAGTCACCTCTCTGCCTGGAGTTGGTTGGTCACCTGGACCCTCAACACTGACCCAGTTTGCAAACTGGGGACGGGACAGGCCTGTGGGGGGGCCCCAGAGCATCGCTCCCTGCTCGCGCCATTTCTATGGCAACGCTGAAAAATAGCGCCTGGAGTGGTGATGTGGCCCCAAATCTGGGGGAGCTCCTAAGAGGTGAATCCCCAAATTTCCAGCCGGCCTGAGGGGTGCTGGGGGGGCTGTGGGTGCTGGAGCATTCATTAACCTCATGGAAAAGAGTTCCCAGCTTGATGGAGGTGAGTGGGAATTCTCTTTCTCTCGCTTAAATCCTACTTTTCGCCTTAATCCAGCCCATTTTTGTCCGAGGGGTGCACCCTCAGCTCGTTCCCCGGCGACACGGAGCTGTGTGGGGCGGCCGACACGCCGGAGGGAAGGGATGTCATCCCGAGGGGCCTGGCCAGGCTGGAGAGGTGGGGCCGGGCCAACCTCCGGAGGGTCAACAAGGCCAAGGGCAAGGTGCTGGCCCTGGCTCGGGGCAATCCCAAGCACAGAGCCAGGCTGGGGAGGAGGGGATGGAGAGCAGCCCCACAGAGAAGGGCTTGGGGGGCTGGGGGGGAGACCCCCCTGCAGTTGTGGGCCCAGCTCTGGGGCCCGCAGCCCCAGC